TTTGTACATGAATGTTAGCTTGTTTTTCCATATTCTGCAGATTCACCTATAGATTTAACTCAAATCCCCTCTCTTCCTCTCCCATGAAATGCTATTCCTCCTTTTTTATAGGAGACAAATATAAGCTTCTTTTTTTTTTTTTTTTTTTTTTTTTTTTTTTTTTTTTTTTTTTATTGACAATTACAACCTCTTTATAAATCATAATGTCTCAGTGGAAAAGCTAGCATCCCAGTACCCCATCCTACAGAAGTCAGGAGGTTTGAAGCTGTTTACTTCCTTCTTCACTTCCCTCCTCAAAGAACATCAAGCAATTCTCATGTGGTTTTCCAAATCCTGAATGTTATTCTGACAACCACACAAAATCTAATGCATAAATGGAGTTCTTGGCATGAAGTCTATTAGTGATTCCTGACTGAGATTAAAGAGAACAGGAAACAGCCGCTCTGGAGTAATAAGAGACTTGGCATGGCTCAACCCCTACCTTAGCTCTGTAGATGCCATGGCAGCTTCTTTGATGCTTACTACAGAATTTAAGCCCTGGAGGCCTCTAAGTGCCTCCTGGAGGAGGCAGTTGTGCAGCTGGGCTCGCTGTCTGCCATTTCAGCGGTGGGACTCTGTGCCCATGTGCATTCAACATGTTCTGCTCTTTTGCATTAGTGTGAACTACATTGGGTGAAAGCAGCTGTGGATGCTGCTGAAGTGCACACATTGCCTACTTTAGTTCATAACAAAGATAATGTTTTCTTTCCTCCCACTTTTTTTTTTTTTAATGCCATAGTGCACACAACTGATTACCATGCAGTAAAAAAATGCACTCTTCTAAACTCTGAAAATAAAGTTGCTCTTTTCCTGTCAAGACAGTAGCAGACACATATAATTGTGCACTTGAATGTAATGTTAAATGCAATAACAAGCGGGCAAGTGACGCCAAATTGTTTAAAAGACTCCCAAACTCAGCAATTTTCAAATGAGTTGGAACTTGCAACTTGATTTCTCTTGTTCCACATAAGCTCCTGAGTCAGGAGCTAGTCTTTGTATGCAATTGGACTCCGAAATAATATTCTAGGAACAATCAAATTCAGTAAATGCTCCTGTTCCTTTCTGTCCCCTGGCTCAGCTCACAACTTCTTCTTGACAGTGAATGGCAGCTCTCCTACAACACTGACTGAATAATCAGAGAAAAATATCTCTATTTTCTTTGGTCTTGTTTAAACAAAACCCCACTTTTTATGCACTTGGAGGCAATTCTATTTCCCACTTGCTAACAGAAATTTTGTTGATAACCTTTACTTGAGAGGTTTTCCATAAAGCTAGCTACATGGAGAGCTTAACTACAGGATAAGAGGCAACATATGTAAGACTGATAGTACAGTTGAGAAACACAGAATAGCTGCTGAAACATACATGTTAATAAACATACTGAGGGTTTATTTTCTTGGAATATTTTGAAGTGAAAGAATTCTGAGTTGTTCAGAAAACCTAAAATTAAAGCCTGCAATTTCTCAATATATATATATATAGCAGTGATAAAGTGCACAATAAAACTATTCTGTCAACAGTATATTGGTTTTTACATAGATACTTAATAGAGAACCTGAGTCCAACTTGGTGTTAGTAAAAGCCGTCTTTAAGTGCTTTATCTAAGAGTTTCATTTTACAGTTGTGTGACTCAAAATACACAGAAATGGATCTCTGATTTAAATGCTCTCATTTGGTTTTATATTTATTATATCTATCTATGCTAATCACTTTATCATCAAGATTCTTCATCAGCTTTTAAAACATTAAGGACATACAGATTTCTTGTGTTGTAATTTCATGTTGAAAGAATACTGATTTCTCCTTACACCATGTTGAATGAAGGTAGGTTTTGGTATCCATATCTGCACTGTTGCTAAGTCTCTCACTTTCATCGTGGATCTCACATTTGGTTAGCTAAAGATATACCTCCTGGAGCCATTTTACTGCACAAAGATCCCTTCTTTCTTTATATTTTTGAATTTAATAGCCCTCCCAGTTTTGTCAAAGACTTTCTCAAAGATTTTTAATTAAAGATTCTAAGTTGAGTGAAGTTTTTGGGAGAGAGAGGAACTAGGAAGGTATTGCTTGAGAGGGTACAAGGGGCAGGAAGGAAGAAACAGAGATTTATAAGATTTGTTGACTTAACCTTCTTAAGTCCAGCTAATATGGTCTCTGTGCCTGTGAGCTCCATATTTGACAGCTAATGGGGATGTGTATACTCATGTTCTGTTTTGCTTAATTCCCATAAAATTTCAAAAGCTTCAATGCATTTTGTAGAGCAGGCTCATAAACCGAGGTGGCTTACATTCCAGGTCAGCTCGTCTTTCATCCAAAATAGATATTTTAATGCAATTAATTTTTCATTACTATATTAAAAATAACATTTAGGTGGTTTTGGCTTATTTGCTGCCTTCTAATGCTAAATGAAATTTATTTTTGAAATGTAAATGGAATTGCCCTTTGTGGTTTATCTTATCATGTAAGGAGGCCTACCTATGTTTTTTTTGAGAGTATTGATAATAATATAAAATTGCTATTTAGACTGTGTAAGTATTCTGACTGGAAAGAAAACAAATAAACAAAAGACAGATTTGGCCTTTGTCTCATCTTGAATATTTGTTCTCTTACCATAAGCCTGACATTGACAATTACACTCGTGTATAGGAAGCTAAGGTGGCCAACATCCTGTCATACAGCAGATCTAGGCTGCCAGAGTAATGAAATGCATCTACAAACCACCATCAAACCACTGGAGGGTATCTATTGTGTGTCCAGCATGTCCTGGTGATGAGGTGTGTGTCTTGCTGTTCTGATGATAAAACTTTTGTGCACAGCCTGAATCTCTCATGTGGTCTCCGTTGCAGGAGTCAGGCTGAAATGGATTTATGGTGACACCTGTTTTGACGATGTGTGATGTCTTTAAGCATGGTGAGGCAAAGTCTGAGGTCCAAACCCCTGTATGAAGGGGTTATGTGACCTACCATGGACAAAAGACTAGTCTCTAAAGTACAAGGTCTTCCAGGGTTGAGGTTATGATGAAATATATAACCCACAAAGCAGTTTTGCCACAGTGCGTGAAGCACTGTGTTTTCATATTAATTCTTCTCTTCTATAAACAGGTTTTATTGTTTAACTTTGTGTATGGGACCAGATGCTCATCTGATGGTTAGATGATCTGGTCTGATTGATACCAGCTGTGAATCTGATCTGTAGCTTGTTCTGGAGCTGCACTGAGAAAGTTAGCCTGGTTTTGGTCTCCTTATCCCCTTATGTGCAGTCTTTGTTTCTACAGTGTTTTGGCTTTGTAAGAGAATGAGAAGGTTTCACTACCTAACAAAGAAAGCTTTGATTGGGGCCTGGCAAACAGAGTCCAAAATTAATGTTCTTAACAATGATGCTTTGTTCTCTGAATCTCTTACTTTTTCAGATCGAAGAAAGTTAAATATAACCTGGATGGGGCTACTGTAAAGAACTACATGCCAACATTTGATTAAGTACATTTTTTGCTTGATTTTCTGTGGAACATGATTTATGCAATCATTCTCTCTGAAAGTCTGTGCCCAGCCCTTTGGCTAATTTCAGACCAGTTTGATAGGGCAGAAACATTTATAGATAACTACCTTCTTATAAGTTTTGTTCAAATAGGCACTTGTGTAAAGGAAATGGGTCCTAAAAGTGTTTAGATTGAACATAAGATCACTGAGTAGTTTAGGCTCATGAAGTCAACTGGTCTAAACCACTGCTCAGAGCAGGTCTAACTAAATCAATGTGTCTAGTTGAGCCTTGAACACATCCAAAGATGGAGATGTCATGTCTTTGCATGTTCTGTTCATGTATTTATCATTCCAATAGTTAAAAAAAAATGCATCTTAATATGCAATTGAAATTTCCAGTGCTCCAACCTGTGTCCTTGCTTCTTGTCCTATTGCTGTATACCTCCAAGAATCACAGAATCACAGAATCATCTAGGCCAGAAAGGACCCTGGAGATCATCTAGTCCAACCGTTCTCCTAGCACAGTTCCCACCTACAGCATATCCTTAAGCTCTAAATCAACCTGACTCTTGAACACCTCCAGGGATGGGGAATCCACCACTTCCCTGGGCAGACCATTCCAACACCTAAAAACCCGTTCTGTAAAGAAATGTTTCCTAATATCTAGTCTGAACTTTCCCTGGTGCAATTTGAGGCCATTCCCTCTTGTCCTATTGCTTTCTACTAGGCTAAAGAGGCTCAAACCCGGCTCTCAGCAACTTCCTTTCAGGGAGCTGTAGAGGGCGATGAGGTCTCCCCTCAGCCTCCTCTTCTCCAGACTAAACACCCCCAGTTCCCTCAGCCTCTGCCCGTACGACCTGTGCTCCAGACCCTGCACCAGCTCCATTGCCCTTCTCTGGACACGCTCGAGTCATTCAATGTCCTTTTTGTAGTGAGGGGCCCAAAACTGAACACAGGAATCGAGGGGCGGCCTCCCCAGTGCCGAGTCCAGGGGTCAGATCCCTTCCCTGTCCCTGCTGGCCATGCTATTGCTGACACAAGCCAGGATGCCATTGGCCTTCTTGGCCACCTGGGCACACTGCTGGCTCCTGGTCAGCTGGCTGTCAATCAACACCCCCAGGTCCCTCTCTGACTGGCAGCTCTCCAGCCACTCCTCCCCAAGCCTGTAGCGCTGCTGGGGGTTGTTGTGGCCCAAGGGCAGCCCCCGGCATTTGCCCTTATGGAAACTCCCCCAGTTGGGCTCAGCCCATGGCTCCAGCCTGTCCAGGTCTCTCTGCAGAGCCTCCCTACCCTCGAGCAGATCAACACTCCCACCCAACTGGGTGTCATCTGCAAACTGACTGAGGGTGCACTCGATCCCCTCGTCCAGATCATCAATAAAGATGTTAAACAGGAGTGGCCCCAAAACCGAGCCCTGGGGGACAAACTGAGAAAAAGAAGAGACTGCCTCCATCTTCTCCTTGTCATCTGACCAGATAGTTATAGAATCATAGAATTATTTAGGTTGGAAAAGACCTTTAAGATCATTGAGTCCAACTTTAAACCTAACACTGTTAAATCTACCGCTAAACCATGTCCTTAAGCACCACATCTACACATCTTTTAAACACCTCCAGGGATGGTGACACCACCACTTCCCTGGGCAGCCTGTTCCAATATCTACAAACCCTTTTGAAGAAGAAATTTTTCCTAAACTCCAATCTAAACCTACCCTGGCACAGCTTGAGGTGACTTCCTCTTGTCCTATTGCTTGTTACTTGGGAGAAGAGACCTACACCAACCCCCCTACAACCTCCTTTCAGGTAGTTGTAGAGAATGATAAGGTCTCCTCTTAGACTCTTTTTCTCCAGGATAAATGTATTGGGTTGGTGTGGCAAGGTTTTGGTAACAGTGAGGCTACAGGGGTGGTTTCTGGGAGAAGCTGCTAGAAGTTTTCCATATGTCTAATAAAGCCAATGCCAGACAGCTTCAAGATCGATCCACTGCTGGTCAAGGCTGAGGCCATCAGTGATGGTGGTATTGTCTCTGTGATAAGGGGGCAAAAATCTGTGCAACACCAGCAACTGTCAGAAAAGAGGAATGAGAATATGTGAGAGAAACAGCTCTGCAGACGCCAAGGTCAGTGCAGAAGGAGAGGGAGGAGGTGCTCCTAGTGCCGGAGCAGAGATTCTCCTGCAGCCCGTGGTGAAGACCACGGTGAGGCAGCTGTCCCTCTGCAGCCCATGGAGATTAACGGTGGAGCAGATCTCCACCTGCAACCTGTGGAGCACCCCACGCAGCTGCAGGTAGATGTGTCTGAAGGAGGCTGTGACCTCTTAGGAAGCCCACACTGCAGCAGGTTCCTGGTAGGACCTGTGGACCTGTGGAAAGAGGAGTCCACGCTGGAACAAGTTTGCTGGCAAGACTTGTGACCCCATGGGGGACACATGCTGGAGCAGTTCAGGAAGAACTGTAGCCTGTGGGAAGGATTCATGTTGGAGAAGTTCATGGAGGACTCCTTCCTGTGGGAAGGACCCCACACAGGAGCACAGGGAGAGTACGAGGAGTCCTTCCCTGAGGAGGAAGGAGTGACAGAGCCAATATGTGATGGACACCCCTGTAGTGTTCTGAAAAGGAGGTAAATAAATTGGGAGTGAAGTTAAGCTTGGGTGGAAGAGAGGGGTGGGTGGAAGGTGTTTTTAAGATTTTGTTTTATTTCTCATTGTTCTAATCTGGTTTGATTGGTAATAAATTAATTTCCCTGCATTGAGTCTGTTTTGCCCACGATGGTAATTGCTGAGTGATCTCCCTCCATCCTTACCTTGACCCAAAAGACTTGCATTATATTTTCTCTCCCCTGTCCAGCTGAGGAGGGGAAGCAGTAGAGCAGCTTTGGTGGGCACCTGACATCCATTCAGGGTCAATCCACGACACTAAACCACCCCAATTCCCTCAGCCATTCCTCATAAGATTTTTGCTCTGGACAACTCACCAGCTTCATTGCTCTTCTTTGGATACTGCAGCGTAAATTTTTCTTGGATACAAAAAAATATTATTTTCTTGTATACAATTCAGTGTTAGTACAGACTGAGTAGAATTGGATGAGAAATATAGTAATTTACAAATATAATCTTTCATGTAAATAGTTTTGGTTAGCAGCCAGTGTTAAAAGTTTTAAATAGTAAGAGAACCAATATATTCTTCAGATTTGTGCTCACGCATACAGAAGTTTTAATGAATTTTAATGTAAATACAAAAACATATATCTGTAGAATATTTTCTACTTTTTTTTTTTCAAGAGGCTTATGATCTGTAAATATTTGAAGTCTATCAACCAAGTAGTACAAATCATTTATCACAAATGAGAAGTGATTTAAATAAACAATTCACTAGTAATCAAATATATGACAGCTAAGTTGTATCTATTAACTGTTGTCAACTTAGAAGGGGTTCAGAAGTGATTTCTGAACATATACATTAAGAAGCCCCCAAAACCCCAAACAAAACTGCCCAGATTAAATACTCATCAGTGCAAATTCTTTTTTTTTTTTTTTTTTTTTTTTTTTTTTTTTTTTTTCTTCTTACTACCAAATTTTCTAGATCAGCATTTATGCTAGTACAATACATAAGATTATGAACAATGTATTTAAACTCACACTTCAGATGATGTTTAAAAATGGGCTAAATAAACAATTTCTCCTACTAAATAGAATTTATTTTCTTGTGGAAGCAATCCTATCAATAATACAATACATTTTACAGAAGGTAAGAAAGGTGGAACAGGAAAGGGGCACAGGTCATTATAATAAAAGCATCATTAGCATAAACAGCTTAGTAAGCTTTAATCTTCTTGTATCATTATTATATTGCAATATAATACTGTTACTGCTGAAATACAACTGAATATGTACAATGCAAGAAAGCTTTCAAAATATATGTGTCTTCAGGTAAGCACATGGAGAGGCTAAGATAGTTTAACAGTAGTTCAAGAGAGACTTCTCTATTTAGATTTGGGTTTCTATTTTAGTGATGTTTGCAATAGAAACCAACAAATGTCTGCACTAGATACTTTCCATACTGAGCTTGAACACCAAAACCCCATTCTCATTCATATGATATGTGATATAGTGATACTTAAATAATTGCTTTTACAAAGTAACGTTTGTAATTTTTACTGCAGGTGATAATTTCATTTCACTGCTAATTCTTTCTTTAATTTACTACTGACATTCTAGTTATTTGGCTGTGAATCTTCCTGAAATTGTGCATGAAGTTGAATTTAGACTCACAGTGGAATCTGACATAGTAAGAGTTCAGCAGCATATGTGAATTTTACTTTGTTCCTAACTCAATATAATAGGTAATACAGTCAATAGTACAAGTATGTTGAATTCTGTCAAGTGAAGTACAAGGTTCTGTGGTATTTATAAGTTGGTGCGTAATTTATACAATTATTGCTACATGCTGTCATGTTTAGATGTTCCCCTATGGCTTACAGAATTATACTTCACAATAGAGTTATATTTCTCTGCCTTTGATTAGCCAGACAAAAGGCAATGGATGAACAGCTGGTGTTTTACTTCAGATCTTATAAAGATTTAGCTTGCCAAGCCTGATTCTGCATTGGCTTGAATTCCATTCAGCAGCCCTGCTGAACATAACGCAAATTGATATTCTCTGAGCTCTCTTTATCATGTTGCTAAGATTGTCTGTGAGAATGAAAAGCTTATAAAACATGTCATAATGAAGGGCCTGGAACCTGAAGTCTTCCGACCCTCAGTATTTGTTTTACTTCTTTACTTCTACACCTTGAAAAGAGAATAATCCCTAAAAGCTCTGCAAGAGCCTTTTCAATCCTTACAATGCCTTTTAATATTGAAATTGGAAACAAATTTTAGAGACAAACCTGAAAATAACCTGAACACATTTCTGTAATATGTTGATGCTATTTTTGACTAGAAAGTGGAGTTTAATTTGTGTATCACAGAGATAAAGGATGTTAACCAATGTTTGGACAGATCCCACTGCTGCCACATAAAGGGCAATTTATCGAAGTCATGACCGTATTATATTTAAAGACCAGCCAAGCAAGGAGCTGGAGGTCTTTGAGACTGCACAGAGGAGAAGTAAATAAGGAACCTGGTTAGTATTTTACATTCTGTATAAGGACTGGTTTGAATTATAGTTTCTCTCTGTAAATCAGTTCAGAATAAAGAGCTGTGGATCAAGGGAAGAGAGTAGCAAGCTGAAGAGGAGTATGCATCTCCCTACTCCTTTAATTTTAATTAAAGTTTAATACCTTTTAGAAACTCTAGAAGATTAGTTTTTTTTCTGTGAAAAACTTGTCCTACTGGTAAATTTGGAGATGTTTTGGAATTTCACTGCTTCAGACTGGTCTGCAAGGTCTAATCTAGTCAATTGTAACATCATAGAATTCATCATCAAAGGTGGATTTTCTTGAAAACAGGGACCCTAAAGAGTGGGTTACCAGATCTTGTGCCTTGCCTCACTAACTCAAGTGAATACCTTTTGCAGGGTCTTTTGTAAACTGTATTATTAAGGTAATAAGTTATTTTTCTTCAGGATGTTTTTAGAAAATGGTTACAGAATCTCACTTTTCTGAGAATTAGAAATCTTTAATTTGAAGCCTAAATATAGAATTTGTTGAGTTGTTTCCAATTGTGCTTATATGAATAGTTTGGTTTAGTATTTTTGACCCACATGCAGCAAATCTGATAAATGTATAGAAAGAAATAATGTCAGCTCAGCTTTGTTTAAGATGAAAAGACCAAAGTGTTTTTGCCTGCTCTCATAAGAAAGGCTTTCCACTCTTATTATCATAAGGGGCACTTCTCAATACATCTTTCATTTTGAATTTATCTTTTCTGACTGGAGAGATTTTTATGCAGTACATCTCAAGCTGGACAAGTCCTGATAATGTCAGCAGTTCCTCTGAACTATGCTGCAAGTGCTTCATCTTATGGACCTTGATGTCATCTGTTCTTCAGTTGTACAATGCTACCAAATTCCAGTAATTCTCTGATCAACTAATATACACAAATGTATTTTTTTAACATTAATTTCCAAATTTTTAATTCTTGGATCATAGCAGAAATTCTAGGTAGTAGTGGCAAAAGTCCAGATTCAGCCTGCCACACAGCAAACTAAGTTGATGCCAAGCATAGTTTCAAATGGACCTCCATAAAAACCTGCCTTCAGAGTGAACTTAGAAGGGCAACTCTCCTATTTAAGGTATTTCAGTTAAGTGTCTAAATTTAGGTGGGATGAATTTATGCTTAAATGTATAATCTTCTTAAATTAAAATAATGAATCATAAATTTTATAATTACCAACACAAAAGACTACAAAGGTGTGATCTTACATCATATCTTTTGATATTTAACTATAGGTTTGCAATAATCAAGCTATTTATTTAAAACATTTTGATGTTTAATCAAAAACAAATGTTTGCATGAACCATTTTAAAAGATGGGGGCATTTATGACAGGAGAAATTTTAAATTTGTATTTCAGTCTACCATCTAGCCTGATGCACTCCTAAATTTACTTTTCAATGGGACTGAGCTTATCTATGATTAGAAATT